AACCGCTTTTTGATCCCATCGACTATTGTGCGGTTCGCATTCTCCACCTGGCCATTTCCTTGCGGGTAGGCCACGGAAGCCTTGTTGTGAGTAATCCCGAAGTCCTTTAAGTATTTGGTGAACCCTGAGTTCCGAAATTGAGGCCCGTTATCCGTCACGATATTTCAGGGTGACCCGAACCGAGTGATGATGTTCTTCCGGACAAAGCGCTGGCACTGCTTGGTTGTGATGGTTGCATATGCCTCGGCCTCCACCCATTTTGTGAAGTAGTCGATAGCGACCATGACATACTTCTTTCTTCCTTGAGCTTGAGGGAAGGCCCCAATGATGTCCATCCCAAACCTTGCGAATGGAATAACATTGGAAACTGGGTGGTAGTATGTTGCAGGCCTTCCCGGAAACTTGTAGAATACCTGGCAAATCTTGCATCTCTGGACATATCTCTCGCAATCTTGGTTCATTGTAGGCCAGAAATAACCTAGCAAAATGATCCTTTGCGCGAGCGTCCTGGACATTTGGTGGGCGACGCAGACACCCTCATGAACTTCGGCGACCACCCTTTCCGCCTCTGGCCTGGTCAAGCACCTTAGCAATGGACCACCGACCCCTCTTTTGTATAGCCTTCCCTCGAGCATTTGGAATCTTGGAGCCCTCAACTTTACTTTTCTCACCCTGTCCTCGTTTTCAGGAAATTGCCCGGTCATGTAATACTTGACCAAGTCATCCATCCAAATATCATCTGGTTCCACCAGGCCTGGATTGGGTTGTCCATCTTCCTCAATCACGCTAACAGAAAACCCCTCAATGCTGGCTTTCTCCAGCGTCTCAATCCTGGCCAGCTTGGACACATGCTCCGGGGCTGCTTGCGTCAACTTTGATAGTAAGTCGGCATCGGTGTTCTCCCCCCTAGGGATTTGCTCCATCACATACTCAGTCAGGTCCTTCAATAGTGCCCTTGCCAAGTCTCTGTATTTCTGCATTTTCTCTCCTTGATGTGGCCTACCACCAAGCTTGAATTGGACTTGATCCTGAGGCATGTGATTTGTAGCGTTTTGGCCAATCTCAGGCCCCCTATTAACGCCTCATACTCGGCCTCATTGTTTGTGAGCTTGAAATTAAAAATCAAGGCATGATATACCTTAAACCCTTCCGGAGTTGTGAATACCACACCTCCCCCATAACCTTTTGGTCCAGAGGCTCCGTCGACCGACATGGACCACCAAAGCTCAGTGATGGCCATGGCCGGTTCTTCTTCCTGGTGACCCGTCATCTCTACAAGAAAATCAGCCACAGCCTGCCCTTTTATCACCGTTCTCGGACGATATTCAATGTTGAATTGGGTAAGCATCATGGCCCATTTGATCATCCTTCCCGATGAAGTGGAATCCCTCATGACCGTGCCCAATGGTAGGTCGGTCAATACGACAATGGGATGGGCTTGGAAGTACGACGTGAGTTTCTTCGCTGTTATGAAAAGTGCATACCCTGCCTTCTCCGTAGGAGTGTACCTACTTTCTGCCCCATTTAAGGCCTTGCTTACATAATAGATGGGCCTCTGGACCCCATCATCCCTCATCAAGACTGAGCTAACAGCCATTTGAGTAACCCCTAAGTAGAGGTAGAGGGTCTCCTTTGTTTCTGGCTTGGACAAGACAATATCCGAAGTCAGGTATGTCTTCAGCTCTTCGAATGCCCTGGCGCATTCATCATCCCACTGGAAGGTGTTGGCTTTCTTTAATACTTTAAAGAAAGGTAAAGCCTTCTCTGCCGACCTGGATAAGAACCGGTTTAAGGCTGCCAAGCGCCCCGTTAACCTTTGGACATCCCTTACCGATGTCGGGGGTTGCATCTCAACAATGGCCTTAATCTTCTCAGGATTTGGCTCAATCCCCCTCTTTGTGACCATGAAGCCTAGGAACTTCCCCGTCCTCACAGCAAAAACACACTTCTTTGGATTAAGTCTGAGATTATGCCTAGCCATAATCTCAAAACATTTTTCCAGGTCTTGAGTGTGTGTGCTAGCTGCCCTGCTCTTCACTAGCATATCATCGACATAGGCTTCCATGGTCCGTCCAAGCAAAGGCCTGAACAATTTGTTGACCATTCTCTG